AAATCTGGTTTCTTTTATAACTCCTTGTGCCTAACCTCAGTTTTGTACGTTCTGCTGCCAAGTTAGTCTTTTTTAATATAAAGTTTAGCTTTATTTTTGAGCTCCTCATGGTGGTCTGCATGCCTGGGTCCAAACCTTTACAAACCGTGACAGTATTTGTCCAGCGTGTATGTATCATTGTGATGAACTGACATTTTAATTCTTGAAGTCAGGAAACATCCTAAATAAATAACAATTATAAGTATATTTAGAAGACTGGGTCTTCACATAAGATATCAAATTTAGGATCAATGCTGCTGAAAACATTTCTATGATTTATTTTACAGAAATATACTACTGGGCTGAAAGTAACCATGCATCAAAGTTAAATGGTAAAACACTGTCCTGTTAGACCTCAGTGCTGCATTTGATACAGTTGATCATAATATTATGTTGAGATTACAGGAACGGCTCTAAACTGGTTTAAAACATTTATCTGATAGATTCCAATATGTAAATATAAATAATGAATCTTCTTCATACACCAAAGTTAGTCATGGAGTTCCTCAAGATTCAGCGCTTGGACCAATACTCTTTACTTTATATATGCTTCCATTAGGTAAAGTTATTAAACAGCATTGGATAAATTTTCATTGTTATGCTGATGATACACAGTTATATTTGTCTATGAAACCCAATGAATCCAATCAGCTACTTAGACTACAAGCATGTCTTAAAGACATAAAAACCTGGATGACCCTTAATTTTCTCCTGTTGAACACAGACAAAACTGAGGTTTTGGTTTTTGGACCTGAGCACCTTAGGAATGAATTTTTCAGTCTTTCTCCCTCCTTAGATGCATTAATCTGTCCTCCAGCTCTAATGTTAAAAATCTTGGTGTTATTTTTGATCAGGACATGTCTTTTATCCCCCACATTAAGAACGTTACTAGAACCTCCTTCTTCCACCTGCGTAATATCACTAACATTAGAAACATCTGATCTAAAGATGATGCAGAAAAACTGGTCCATGCATTTGTCACGTCTGGACTGGACTATTGCAATGGTTTATTATCTGGGTGTCTAAATACTTCTTTAAAACGTCTTCATTTGATCCAAAATGCTGCTGCCAGAGTCTTAACTGGAGTTACTGGGAGAGATCATGTTTCTCCAGTTTTAGTTTCTCTCCACAGGCTCTCTGTCAAATCCAGAATAGAATTCAAAATCTTACTTCTAACCTACAAAGCTCTCAACAACCTAGCTCCATCTTATGTTACTGATCTTATTGCTCCATATTTTCCTAACAGAGCGCTTCACTATCAGACTGCAGGTTTACTTGTGGTTCCTAGAGTTTCCAAAAGCAGAATGGGAGGCAGATCTTCCAGTTCTCAGGCTCCTCTCTTGTGGAACCAACTTCCAGTTTCTGTCCATGAGGCTGACACATTATCCAGTTTTAAGACTGGGATTAAGATTTTTTGATAAATCCTATAGTTAGAGTTGGCTTGTTGTACTGTCTTAAGCTTAGATTATTAGAGGACAAATTGACCTCATTTCCTTAAATGAATTGTTAAAATTGAATAGTTTTCATTTGATATTATTTCTATCTTAACGTGATTCTTGACCTGCCATTGTGTATCTGTTCCTCTCAAACCCAGCCGGTCGAAGCAGATGGTCGCTTGTCCTGATCCTGGTTCTGCTAAAGGTTTCTTCCTCATGAGGGAGTTTTTCTTTCCACTGTCGCCTTCATGCTTGTTCAAGATGAGAGTTCTGTGATGAGTTAAACTCAAAGCAGTCTGATCCTCAGATAAATTCTTAAATTATTATTTTATATATGAATGTTTCTGTTCAGTTCCCTGAGACACTTCTGTTGTGACTTGGTGCTTTATAAAGAAACTGAATTGAATTAAAATTTAACAATAATAGAAAACTTGAATAATGCCCACTTCTACATTTATTGATATTATGTACGTGTATGCTGACCTCAAAGAGAATTATTACAGCAGCCAGTTGTTGGACATGAATACATACCGGCTT